ATATATATATATGGTTTTTGAGAGCTAGGAGAGGTGCTGAGGTGCTGCATGCCTGGAATCCCAGCACTCAGGAGGCTGAGGCAGGAGGATCCCAAGTTTAGGCCCAGCATGGTCAATTTAGCAAGTTAGCAAGACCCTATCTCAAAATTATAAAACAGAAAAGGGCTGGAGATATAGTGCAGTGCTAAGCCCCTGGGTTCAATCCACCAAACCACAAGGATTTAAGGATTTAGTCCTTGTTTCTAAGAACTATAGCAGTGTTTTCTTTTCCTACAGCACTTTTTTCTTCAATCAAAATATTACTAAGAAGGGCCGGGGATTTAGCTCAGTGGTTCTGGCACCTCCCTCACAAGCTCAAGGTCCCAAGTTCGATCCCCGGTACTGGAAAAAATTTTAAAAATTACTCAGATGCCCTAAATATTAAAGCACAACATGGCCAAAGTGCTCTGCCTACAAACAGAAGAGGGGGTCAGGGGACCCCAAAACTTAACCAGCCTGTGCACTTCTCCTCACTTAATCCCAGTCACCCCTAAAGCACTCCCCGACCTGGGATTCTTCAGGCCACAATTGTAAAAGCACCGATTTAGACAACGAATGCTTTCAGTGTTCTTCCAAGAGTTCCATCCCGCTTTTTCCTTCTGTGTCAATTATGACCTAATTTCCCATGATGTCTAAGGGACACAGGGTCTGGAATATTTCAGGCCACACCGTCTTCCCCAGAAGGACTTCAGTGAGCCTTTCTGCCTGTCTCATGACCAGCCGTGAGCTGACATTTCCCATTCTTTTGGATGTCCCCCCAGCTCTAGGACTCAAACCCAGGCCTCACACCTGCTGGGCAAGCACTCTGCCGCCGGGCTAACCTCCCTGCCTCTGCCATCCTACAGCGGATCGATCCGAGCCCCTGTGGGAAGCCAAGAGTCTGCCCTTGGGAGATGCAAAGGCAGCCGCTGCCTGGTGCACGGTTTGCTCCGCAGTGCACAGCACCCCTGCCGCGGGCCTGACGACGTACCTTGGCGATGGTCATGGCTCTGATCTTCTCGATGTCGATCATGCAGTAGTGCCAGGACACCAGGCTCTTCATGTTGATGTACAGCTGGTTCCACAGGGCCAGGATGGCTTCGTAGTACTGCTCGATCCTGGGAGGCACAGAGGGATATCAACGTCACACTTCAGACCGGGTTGGAGACCCAGACGTGTTTACACAATTGCTCATCAAACGCCAACTGCCCCAACAGGGGAGCTGGGACGTATGTCATTTTCAAAACTATCAATATTTCAACGGAGTTAGACTAATCTAGTTTCCAAAAAAACATTTGCTATCCAACATCAGGATAGGTAATCCAAACCCTTTTTTGGTAGAAATGTGCGGTGTGATTTTTCTGTTGCTGTGTTGTTTGCCAGCAAGTTTTCCATGGAAAAGGTCTAAATAGGAGGGCAGGTGCATGAGATGCCAATCAGGAGGACCAGGACTTACACACTCCTGTTCCCCATGTGGCTGGAGACCTCTACACCAACAGGTTTAAGAAAGCCTGCTGAGCCGGGCATGGTGGTGCACGCCTGTAATCCCAGCACTCAGGAGGCTGAGGCAGGAGGATCGCTGAGAGTTCGAGACCAGCCTGAGCTACATAGTGAGTTCCAGGTCAGTCTCAACTACATAGTGAGACCCTGTCTCAAAAAAAAAAAAAAGTAAATAAATAAATAAAGCCTGCTGAGGACGAGCTGTGAAATGAACGCTCTGCCTACTGACACTAACTGATGTGCTAAGAATAAAGAACTTCAACACAACCGCTTCCAAGCACTCCACGCTCCCGCACCATCATCATCTTTTTGAGTTCTTGCAAAGTAATCATAGTGTCCTCACCAAGACACAGTAAAGGTGACCTTCATGGGGCTGCTCTTCTGGCAGGTGATTAGGGCAACAAGATGCTAATCTAAGCTTCCTGTTTGAGCACAAGCCCTCCCTCCCCCATGCACACTGCACGCCATGGCTGCCACGTACTTGCAAGAGAGGTCCACGGCCAGAGGATTCGGAGGAGGAATGATCAGTCCCACGGAAGGAACCAGCATGTCCACACCCCCTGGGCCCGTCACGTACCACTTGCTACGCTCGTTGTTGTCTTTCAGGATGCATTCGTCCCCCTTGTGCACGATTTTCTGAAAGGCAAGCAGGCCCTACTGTTAGGGCTGTGTCTAGCTGGCCCCCCCAAAGCCTCATATGGTCATAGGTAAGGCTTTGCAGAGGTGGCTGGACCCAGGGTGCAGCTCAGTGACAGAGTTATGTGCGTGCACGGCCAGAGATGCTGCGTTCAATCACCTGCACAAACACAAAAGAAGGAACTGACTACTGTCCCAATCACTGACTCACAACAGAGCTGCTGTGTTCCTTCGGTGGGACGCTGCTTTATATATAAGAGAAGAAACTACAATAATTATTGAAATCAAGGTTAAAAGTTTGCTGTCTTGATGGACAAAAACAAAATGAAAAGAAAAAGAAAGGCTTTGTGTTGTTCGGAAGAGCTGAGTACGCACCTGGTCTTGTTTGTAGTCGCATAGCGCCCTGAGGATAATGGGTTTATTGCTGCGGTAGTCTGGGTTGCGAGGTTTCAACTGTATAATCTTCTTGGATTTGTTTACCAAGTTCTGCACCTGACGCTTATATTCAAGGATTTTCTCTCGTTCCTTCTGCAATTGCAAAACAAAATCCCATGAGTTTTAGAGGAGCTGATGAAGCTACATTACAAGTTAAGTTTCGCTACAGTTGCACTCCCTGTAACAAGCCACAGATTCCGCTGCTGGGCACACAGAAGCTTCCCTAACAAGCTCTCCAGGAGTTACAGGGCCTTGGAGCGAGAGGGCAGGAAAACCTGCTTGTGGAAGGCCATGTTGCTAAAACCTGAAATACGCTTTCTCAAGGGGGTTGTCATGTTCCTGTTGGTTTTGTTTTCAGCAAAGGACCCAGTGTGGAAGCAAAAGTCATTCTGAACAGTAACTGAGCATGCAAAGAAATGCATTGTGGAAAGCCACTGAAAGGCTAAGGAAACAAACGTTGGCTGGGGCTCTGGGGGCGCACAGGACATAACCGCAGCCGGCAGTGTACCATTCCCCCCACCTCGCACAGCTCTGGGGCCTGGGCCTGAGATGCTACCTCGAGCTCTTTGATCTGCTCTAGCAGGTGTTGTAAGGGCATGTTCTTGTCACAGGGGTACTTCTTCCTGATGGAGTCCTGCAGGCCTTTCAGGTAAGCTTCGGTCGACTGGGCCTCTTCAAAAAACTGTTAGGCATAAGAGTGATTCCACATCAAGGAAAGTAACTTGGTAAAAATGTCACTGCTATAGTTCAGACCTTGAATTTCCCCCGTGGACCCCTGTGTGGAAGGGCAGCTCATGGGAGCCCTGGAGCCCTGCAGCCCTGGAGCTCCCTTCAGGAGGAGGGGCTTAGTGGGAGGTGCTTGGCTCACTGGGGCGTGGCCTCAAAGGGTTGTAGGACCCGGCCCTCCCTCCTCCTCCCTTTGCTCCCTGCTCAGCTATGCATTCCCCACCATGATGTGCTGCCTCCCCACAAGCCCAGAGTAACAGGGCCAATCCATCACGCACTGGACCCTCAAAAACTGTGAGCCAAAAGGAACTTTTTCTCTCTAGCAGTCAGTTATCTCAGATGTTTTGTTACAATGTTGGAAAGCTGGCTAACAATCATTTAGCAGTTCTGTCTCAAGGACTATTGTCTCTGAGCCTCTCTTGGATAAGTGGCTGAAGGACTACAGCAGAAACTATTTATGTATGTGACAGCAAAAGACTGCATGACTGGTGTCCAGGTGATAGATATTTCTCTCCACTGAAAACCAGTCAGATTTATGCAATATTTTCAAGATTGTTTTTAACACCCTTTAGAACACACTGGAAAGATAAGGTCGTAAGAACTAAAAGACAATGAAATTATTAAGAATAAAAACCTGAAAGTAGGCAGCATTCTCTTTGAGGTGAACATCAATGCATTTGGTGATCTGCAGGATCCAACTCCATTGTGTCTGCAGAGTGTCCATGTACGCCTGGAACAAGAAAACAGCAGCTGTCTGACCCCAATTCCGTCACTCAGAAGTAGCAGAGTATGTCCCTGGATAGACATGTGAGCCCGATAAAAGCTATGAAACACCTTCCAATCTAATTCCCAGTCAAGCAGACCTGTCTAATACTACATACAGAATCTCCCACCAAAGTAGTCTTGATAGGGGAGAAACTGAATTTTAAATCAGTTTGCGCAGTTACCATTAGGAGTACTGTATTAGTCCAAATATAGCTTACCCAAATGGTGCAGCCACTGACCACTCAGAACAGATACCGAAGACAGAGGCAGGGTGGTCCCTCTGCCACACCAAAGCCTGTTCCTAGACAGGTTCCAGATGTTGGGGGGCTTAAGGTTGTGGCTCTTATCTACTCTTGTGGAAGTTTCAATCTAACAACCAATATGGCCATACTAATGCTAATAGCTAATGCAAGCCTTGAGCACAGCCTATAGATAGGCAGAAGTCAGCAAACTACGGCCCAAGGGCCATATCTGGCCGACTGCTTGTATTTATAAATAAATTTTTATTGGAACACAGCCATATTCATTGATTTACATATTGCCTACAGTTACTTTTGTGGTACAAGGGCAAAGTGAAGGAACTGAGAGAGACTATATGACCCACAAATCTAAAATATTGATTACCTGGTTTGTCCAGAAAATGTCTGCCAATCCCTGGCCTACAGTACTGATCCCAAAATAGAAAATAAAATTGGCACAGCCTTATGATGAAGAGGGATCATTCACCTACAAAGTCTTTCTTTATAAAAGGCCTTTCCTTGTAACAATAGAAACATCAGGAGGCCTACCTCGATTTTGTCTGAAGCTGGATGCTGATTGAGGACAAGCTGGTCACTCTCCTGTTTAAGCTTATTAAGCTCTTTTTCCTTGACTTCCAGTTGGCTCATGCGTATCTGTAAAATAAAAATCCAAGCCACCATCAGGCCTCCAACACGCCCAAGCACTCACTGGAGGCAAAGTACAAACGAAGCTACATTTTGGAAATAGAAAAATGCCAAAGAATTTTGTTATATTTTCCTCAAGAAACACAGCTTTCTTTTCAAGGCTGAGGCCAGACAGGTGACACAACCGCTCCAGTAGTGACAAGAGCTATCATGAATATCAGCAAAGTAGCCTTTGTCTGAAATGTTTGGAAATAGAAGTGCTTTGGCTTTGGGATGTTTTCAGATTATAGAACGCCAGCTTGTACATAATGAGATTAAACACGAGATTCTTTATGTGTCGTGTACATCTCACACAATGGTCTGAAGGTGACTCTATGTAACATTTCTGGTGCACCTATGTTCTGACGGTGCCCAGTCTTGAGGTCAGGTATGGAATGGCATCATTTCACCCTGCAGCTTTTGGAGCATTTCACATTTTGGAATAAGGGACGCTCAACCTGTACTGATTCTTACTGCCTGGTTTCAATCTGCCATTCAGAGCTGCTATGCTCTAGGTCATCTGAGTCAACTAATTCTCACCTAAGGAACCTGTTTTCTAGAATGGTAATCCACTGGGGAGGGCAGTTTTTTAGGTCGGTACAGTAGCAGATGCTTATAGTCCCAGCTACTCAAGAGGCTGAGGCAGGCCCGTTGCAGTCCAAGAGTTCAAGGCCAGCCTGGGCAGCAGAGCAAGACCCTGTGAAAACCAACCAATGTACTGCACCTCTTGCATCATCGAGCCGCATCAGAACAGAACAGTGTTTCAAGGCTGAAGTCCAGGCAGCTGATGACATTACTGAAGGCCCCCCACAGCCCCTCCTCGGAGTCCACCAAGGCACCCACAACCTCGGGGGCAGCTTACAGAGAAGGCCTCCTGCTTCTGCGCGATGTCGGTGTTCCTGTCGCTCCAGTCATACAGCAGCTCCTCCTCCTCGCAGTCGTTGATCCACATGATCTCCCGGGATGTGGCCTGGATGATGTTTTGCAGCTGCCGTAGGTGGTCCATCCGCTCAAAAGATGCTTTCTGCACGGCCAGGTGGACAGCAGCATTAGAGTAACAGTGGGCAGGGGAAAAGCGCTCTGCAGACCCACAAGTAAACCTCTGTCTGCCCTTTCCAGGGCTGGGGTGGACCTCAGCACCAGAGCTCCTGCCTCGCGTATGTGAGGACCCAGTGTGATCCCCAACATTGAAAAGCCAAAGGACTCATACAGTTCCTTTTACCAAAACAATTCTAAGAGCAGGTAGCGCCTATTCACCCACTGCATTTGTTAACCATATGGTATGAGAAAAGAACCCATGCAAATTGGGATGAATGAGAGAGCCATTTTAGATTCAGGCAGTCTAACACTGGAGGGTCTTTTTATTGGGTTGATTGATCGATAGTCTAATTGTGGCGCTGGGAATGGAACCCAGGACCTCACACATGGAAAGCAAGCTCTCTGCCCCGAGCACACCCCCAGTGTCTGAAAGGCTTTGATGTACCTAACGATGTTTGGGTCCAATGGGACTCTTAGAAATCTAAATCGAGCTCTTCCTACCCTCTCCCTACCCACCCCAATTCATGGTGCGTCTGTTACACCCCCAGGCCCGGCAGGAGAAGTGTGTGTCACCAACAGACCAACAGACACATTATTTCATCACTGCCAACAAGGAAATGCAGTTAGCTCCTGTTTAACAACCTACCCATTAAACGACCATTTGGACTTACGATCCCCCCACTTTTTTGTAGAGTTTTGTATATTTTCTTTTTAGAGGCTCAATGGTATTTTTTGGTTCAGAACCCCTTGTTTACACAGTACTGTAATTTTTGCTGATGGTATCATATGGCACAGCACTATAGTTTTATGTTCTGTTATACATTATAGTACTGCATGAACAACTTTTGCAAATAAAAAGCAAAATCATCAAGTTGGAGTTTCCTTTGACCATTTCTTTGCTCTGCACATTGTAATGCACGTACTACACGCAGTTCTTCACTTAGCAACCAGTTCATTTAACGACCAACAACCACCGTGACGGGGTAGTTACACAAACAATGCCTGTAGCTCTTCAAAAGGCAGCCAATTTAGAAGTGGCAAAGTGCAAGTGTTTAACAACCGTCATTTACGTAACACAACATGAGAACAGAACGGTGTTAGGCATGGTTTTCAGAAAAAGAAAAAAAATCTTTTAAAACTTCAAAAGGAAACTCAGGAGTAGCAACAAAATCAGCATCTATGAGCATGTAAGTAGGCACACCGCCAAGGTCTCAGGTGAGACGCCAGACAGCTGAGCAGGAAGAACTCGGGATGCAAGGAACCGAGTTTCAATGAACGGAGACTACGTGCACTTCAGAATTAAATCCACTTACCAGCAGGTTTTCATACTCCTCCTCTAACTGGTAGATCGCAGACTTCTCACGCTAGAAGAGCACAAAAACAGGTTACCAATTTAATGACGCTGGGATCTACAGAAAAAGCAGCCCTTCTGCACCTCCCTGCTGTCAAACACTGGCCTCAGACCCCTCAGCAGAAAAAGGTATTTACTCTATGAAGGCTTTTACCCACACGGACCTTATCCCAGGTGGTTTGAAGGTAACCCGCTATTGGCCTGGTAATGCCTTCAACACAGAGAAAAGGCCTGATTGTTCACTTAAGGGCTCCCTGGTTCACACCTGTAATCCTAGCACTCTGGGAGGCTGAGGCAGGAGGATCACAAGTTCAAACCCAAACTGCATAATTTAACAAGCTCCTATCTCAAAATTAAAAACAGCTGGGAGGGCCGGTTCCGCTACCTGCCTTGCAAGCACAAGGACGTATGTTCGATCCCTGGTACAAAAAAAAAAAAACAAAACAATAGAGCTGAGAAAATAACTCAATGCAAATGCCCTGGGTTTAATCTACAGTACTGAAGGGAGAAAAAACCAGGGATTGAACTCGGGATCTTTCACCTGCAAGGCAGGTGGCAGAACCACTGAGCTAAATCCTCAGCCCAAGAAAAAAAATTTAAGACTTCTCTGGTCACAAATTTTTTTCAAGAATATGAAAATATCAATTCAAGAGTCCCAGGATCTTAGAGAAATGAGGGAGAGAGGTCATCAGGCAGAGTACTCAAGTGATAAAAGCAAGGCAAAAGGTTGTCACAGAAGTGAGGATGAACAGCTCTAATCTAATTTAAAAAGTAATTTCAATGAGACCCAGGAGGTGACTGTCAGGCCAGGCCCGGCCTAAACACAGGGGACAGAGCAAACAGGCTGCTTTCAGCAAACAGCAGCAGCTCGTCTGTAAATAGGGCAAATGGACTCAAAGAAGCACATTCTGCCCTGGTGCCCAGAGGTCCGGCGACTGTGCACACAGCTGAGCAGACGCCCTTGGCGTCCAAGTCAATAAACACTTCTCCCAGACTCCTGGGCCCTTCGGTACCTGTGTAAGCCTATTCCCGTCCCAGTTAGCTGCTGTCTCTCCCCTGGTGTCAGCCCATCCACATATGGATGTGGTAAATTTGGCTTGTCCCAGCTGGCTGCTGGAATCTCCTGGTTTTAGTCCCCGTTCACTGGTATAAACTTTCCTTTCAAAAGCCTGTTTTTGACAAGTGGACCCTATAACAGTAACCACACACTGAAGATCATTTTAGTATCTATGCTATGCTTTGCTGCCCAGCTTCAAGTCTGACTTTTCTCAGCACAGGACAGGTGTCAAGGTGAAACATGATTTCCTTCAACAGAGATAGTTTTTAAATTTTGTGCTCTACCACTGAGCTGCACTGCCAGCCCATGCACACATTTTCATTACTGGGTAGGAAAGGATGCACCAGTCACACAGACCACCACCACTTCTCGTTAGCAGTGAGGGGACCAGGGTCTTAGCTCAGTGGTGCCTGCCTTGCAAGTACAAGGGCTGGAGTTTGATTTCCAGTACCAAAAAAAAAAAAAAAAAAAAAAAAGTGAGGCTCTGCTTTCTGCAGAAACTGATTTACAGCCCTCTGCAGTGCTTACTCCCAAGCTGCAGACCAGGAAGTGGGCGCATGGCCCTGACCTTTGGTTCAACTCCTCCCCGTAGGTTAACAGCCTCTCTAGTAGGTCTGGCTGACTCCACTTCCCCCTTCCTGGGATTTTTCAGAACTTTCCAGGCTCTTAGGAAAGAATCACAGCTTAGCTTTCAGACCAAGTTGCCTGGCACAGAGCGATCGCAAACCCTCCCCTGGGCGGGTGCTCTGAAGACTGAGCTGGAAGCCAGCAAAGTACCAGGTCAGCTTTGATCTTGTCCAGCTGCCAGCGGTAGTCCCCGATGGCGTTGTGCAGGCCCCTGTGGCTGTTGATGTGCTGCTCCACCGAGGCCAGGTCCACACCCCAGGCCACCATGTCCATCTCCGCCTGCAGAGGGAGAGGGGAAAGAAGAGGGAGGCCCGTGACTGCCCCTCATCTGCAACTGACCGGTGCTTGGCAGCATCGGGGGAAAAGTGCCAGGGGAACAGGCCCGGCTCTGCTTTGGACAAAACCAAAGATGGAGACTTCTCAGGAGGCAGAGGCAGGAACATCACCGGAGCCTAGGAGCTCAAGGCCAAGCTGGGCAATACAATGAGACTCTGTTTCAGTAAAAAAGAAAGAAAAAAGAAAAAAAACACTATGTATTGCAAGCACATACTAATAAGGATGATGAAAATAAGATAAAAGAGAAAACCAAAAGTTCCCATCAAACTCAAGGTCTTAGTTTCAATTAATGTTGGAGTATGTTTTTATTTACTCATTTTTTAGTATGTGTTTGCCACACATAATGATCCCATTCATCATGGGGAATCTGTACCTGTGCATAATGTATTTTAATTCTTTTTGTTCCCCATTCCTCTCTCCTCCCTTCAACTCTTCTTCCCCTCCTCCATTTACAACAGCTGTTTCCATTAATTTTCTTATTTTATCCTTTTTCCCTGCTTACCCTTCCCCTCTCTCTCCCCCTTGTTCCCCTTCCCATTTGAATAAGTTCTTCCTACTTCCCAATGTCTATCCTCTATTTTGCTCCCTATTTATACTGTGGGTTTGTCATACAAGAGAAGCAATGCGATATTTAAACTTCTGTGTCTAATTTACTTCATTTAAGATTATGGTCACTAGCGGGCATGGTGGTGCACACCTGTAATCCCGCACTCAGGAGGCTTAGGCAGGAGGATCGCTGCCAGTGTGAGGCCAGCCTGAACTATATAGTGAGACCCTGTCTCAAAAAAAGAAAGACAGACAAGCCAGGTGTGGTGGTGGAGGCCAAAATGGGCTGGGGACTAGTACCACCAAAAACAAAACACAGGAAACTGCACTGTTCCACAGGCTTTATCCCGGGGCAGGGCCATTGGCTCAGCCTTCTCTGCAGGAGCACAAGCAAATGTCCACGTCACCTGCACCATCTGTCAGACAAGCCAGGGACACACTTTCCAGGCTGGCAGCGAGAACAGCCTGCTCATTGTTCACTGGCACGTGCAGGGCGAGGCCTCAGGAAGGGGAACCACTGCAGAGTCAGATAACCCGGGGTTCAGGGACTCTGCCCCTGGCTCCTGCGGCTGTCCTGGCTTTCAGACAGAAGCAGCAGGTGCACGCTCTGGGATGTCAGTGCGATGCCCGGGCCAGGTGTGTGGTATCGGTCTCGCCCATCAGCAGAAACACAAATCAGGGAGTGAAGACGAAACTCTGGCATGGGAGCCGTGGGCCGCTCCTGACTGCACTGCTGGGAAGCGGCTCCCTGCCCAGCTGGGTCTCCCAGGAAGAGGGACAACACAGGCCACTCTGGGGATGAGGCCCTGAGGGAAAACTGCAGCAAGGGATCAAAGCGCTTAGTCTGCTAAAGTCACGAGGGCCGAAGCCCGATATCAGAAGCACCGTCCATCAAGGTCTGTTAGAAAAGGACATGCAACTGACCTGTCCATGTAACGATGGCTTTTTCTATAATTTAAAATATGTTGAGTCTCTGCCACAGTGTTCTTACCAAGCCACACCCAACATGAATACAGAAAATGATAAAGTATGAGCTGTTGGACTTCTACAGCTGTCATTCTGAGTTAGGAGACACTAGGGGCTGTGACGTTTCACAATTCATTTCTTCCAAAGGTTGCTTTGCCTATCTGTAAGGATCCTGAGACAGACGTGATAGTGCACACCTGTAAACCCAGCACTCAGGACGCTGAGACAGGAGGATCACTGAGAACTTGAGGCCCACCTGAACTACATAGTGAGAGCCTGTCTCAAAATAAAAAAGAAGCCAAGGGCCAGGGATTCAGCTCAGTGGTGCTGCTGCCTGACCACCTGCCTTGCAAACACAAGGTCCTGAATTCGATCCTGGTACCAAAAAAAAAAAAAAAAAAAGGAGCCAAGCATGGTGGCACGTGCCTAAAATTCTAGTATTCCAGAGGCTGAGGCAGGAGGATTACCTGGACTACATAGTGAGTTCAAGGCCAGCCTGAACTACATAGCAAGACCCTGTCTCGAAAAAATATACATTCATACATACATGAGAGGAAAAGTTAACCCAATGAATGAATGAATCAATGTCTAGTAGCAAAAGCTTTCCCTACTTAGGAAAGAACATTCTCAAAATTTTCAAAAAGTGGCCATGGGAGCATGTGCCTGCAGACCCAGCTAATCAGGAGGCTGAGAGGATCTCATGAGTCCATGATGTCCAGACCAGCCTGGGTAACAAAGTGAAACCCAATGTCAGATTAAAAAAAAAAAAAAATCAGGGGCCAGGGGCGTAGCTCAGTGGCACCGCAACTGCCTAGCAAGTGCAAGGTCCTGAGTTGAATCTCTGGTATCAAAAAAAATAAAAAATAAAAATGGCTAAGACATTTTAGAACCACTGCTGAGTTGGTTAAACAATAACTAATCAAGCTTCCTTCCAACCACAACCACACTGCATCACGATCCCTCCACAAGGTATCATTCTAACACATGCACCTTCTTCTCAAGAGGACGGTACACCAGTAGTTGGTTTTCATTATAAAATTCCCATCTCTGTGATTACAGCATAGCCCTACTGCCACCTTTTCATTACAGGGCATAATTACTACATAACACAACAAAACAATAATTAGCCTTGAAAAATACTCTGTAGAACCCCAGTTCATGCTTCTGCTGCCATTATTCCATTCCACTCCCACACGGGTGACGTGATGCTTGCCAGGGAGACAACTGACACCTCAGACACCAGGTACCGGAATATCCGGTCTGCTCCAACTCTCCGGTGTGAGACCATTTTGAATGGAAGCACGGATCACGTGTGAGGTCAGTCCTTGCCAGAGCAGAACAACGATAGTTTTATTCAGCACCTAACAGTCAGTGATTACCACCCGAGCACCAGAGTGCTGTGGCTGGGACAGGTGGGCTGTGCCCCCGCCGCCCTGTGTCCTGGGATTTGAGGGTCTGGGGTGCAAGGACCCACACATGCCCATCAGGTTGCTGCTTACCCGATGCTGCCTCATCCACCCCAAGCACTCGCTGGTCATGCGCTTGGTGAATTCGTCCCAGCCCGAGCCGCTCTGACAGGTATACCCTCCGCCGCCCTTGGAGCTGGCCCTGCGCACCCGCGGCACACTGATGGCTTTGTAAAGGGCTCGCATCTGCTCCTGGAGCTGAAGCAGCCTGCAAGGAAAGGCAAACAATGATCACCGCAGGACAGGGCCCAGGACAGGGGTGGCGAACCTATGGCACACGTGCCGCAGCTTTCTCTGAACGCTCCAAAAGGTTCGCCATCCCTGGGCTAGGAGACCTGTTCAGGGCAAGGTTCCTGTCCTGGGATTCCTGTGAGTCCATGTAGAGGCCACAAAGCTTCTATTTGAAAAAAAAATTTTTTTTCCTTATGGCATGGCTTGAAACTTGATCTCGCACAAAACATTAAGCCTGAGGAAGCTACTGAGAGCCCAAACTACCACCAAAGCATCACTGCCAGTGCCCAAGCTGGTCACACCTGTGCTGTCTCAGAAGTCTTGTCCTGAGGATTTGCCTCGAACCTAGGCCTGCGCAATGTGACAGCAAACTAAGACCACACATCTCCACTTCAGGGTTCTCACTGCCAACCCACGAGTGCCACTTCTGTACTCATTAAGCTGGAAGTGAACGCTGCCAGAGGCCTCCGCTGCCATATAAGCGAAGGTACAGTAACACCCCCTAAGGGACTCAGCTCTCCAAAATAAGAAGCAGAAGCACTCTGGAAGGCTGAGGCAGGAGGACTGCAAATTTCAAGCCCGCTTGACTTTGCATGACCTTTTCTCAAGATAAAAAATAAAATTAAATTAAAATAAAAGAAGGGCTGGAGATGTAGCTGAGTGCAAATCCCCTGGTTTCAATTCCTGGTATCACAAAGAAAAAAAATTTAAATAAAGATGAAAAACAGAATCCTCTTGGGCAGATCTATTTCATTCTTCTCAAGGCAGCTTTGTGATTCCACAAAAGATCAAGGCATGGTTTGGGTCTTTTTTTTTTTTTTCTTTTTAATTGCAGATACAGAAGGCTGCAGAACACCAACTAAGGAAGGTTTTCCCCAGGACCCTGATGCTGGGCAGCGCGGCAGCCCCAGCCACCCTCCGCGCTGGGGACAGTAAATACCTTTTCTGGTAGGCATCACAGGGCTGGCCCATGTGCCGCATCTCCCGGATCAAGCTGTCCGTGACTTCCATCTGGTCATTGGCCTGAGCGAAGCACTCGTCCAGCTCCCGACTCCGAGACAGCTGGATTCCATCCCCATATTTCAGTTCCTGAAAGAAAGGACTCACATGAGGGAAAACTCGTCAGACTGGGAAGAAAAGCTCCCTGTGCGGAAACCGAAGCAAAACTTTCCCCTGCGAGAGTCACGGAGAGTGCGTGATGCGTCCCCACTTCGCCACCATGCAGAAGATTCCTCACGGAAAAGGACTGCATGAACTCGGGAGGTAAATAAGGGAGGTCGTGAACCAAATTCTGTGGGTAGTCTTTTAAATGTTCATTTAAACTGTAAAAGCAAATTCCCAGAATGCTCATCTTCCCCTTGAGTCAATATGATCAATGAGTCCACCTTTCGTGTTTACGCGGGATTTCACTGTGCTAAGAACACTGTTCCATTGTACCACATAGGGCCTTTTCCCTACCATCTGGCGGGTTCCAGCCCAGCCTGGGCAACTTGGCCTGACTCTGTCTCAAAAAAAAAAAAAAAGTTGAAACTGTAGCTCAGTGTAAAAGGCCCTGGGTTCTATCCCAACTAAAGGTGGAGGGGAACAAACTTCATGTTGAAATTTAATCTCTATCATGAACTGTTAAGAAGTGAGCCAGGTAGGAAGTGGCGAATGGATTTCTGGCTTATGGATCACCTCCGCGTGGCTCCGCTACAGAAACCAGCTGTGCCAGTGCCTGCCCCTCGCTCCCTGACTATTGCCATGCGGCTCCCCGCACCGCTGGGGCCTCTGCCAGCAAAAGGCCATCCCTAAAGGTGACCTCTCAACCTTGCCCTGGGTTGCGAGCTTAAACACACCTCTTTTCTTTGTAACTGAGCCAGACACTGTGGTATTAGCAATAGAAAATGGGCTCAAATGATCCCCCTTTCTTGTCTGTTTTAAAGGGATTATCTGCAGACACGAAGGATGCAACAGAGGTCGGGACAGGGACACGTATGGGACCAGGAGACCCAGCCCACTGGGCCCGGGCAGCGGACAGGACCTGGAAGGAAGCAGAAGTGGGTGCTCACCGGCTGCACAATGAGCTCAGCCCGCATCAGGCAGTCAGCGCAGTTCTGCAGCAGCTCCTGGATGGTGTTCTGGTTCTGGAGCCGGGACATGGTGCCCATTTGACTGTGGGGCAAACAGAAATCACATCAGTACAACAGCACTGGTCAATCTGGAAACAGCTCGAACATTCATTGCAAAAACAGAATAAAAATACTCCTGGGAGCCCCTCACCCGATTCTCCAGTGGGCCCGTTTGCTGTACCCCATCTCCCACTCTCCCGAGATGTGTGTACACTTATTTATTTGGGTATATATTATTTTTCTGCCTCATTTGAGAGCCATGCTCTTGAACTCTTGAAGACTCCAGCAGAAGTTCCCTAAGACTGCACCTTTCTCTTATGAAACCACTGCACCATTTTCAAAGTCAGGAAACTTTCAAATGGGTATAATGCTACATTCTAATCCACAGAACTTTTTCACACTGCACTATTAGGTAGCCCAAGAGTGCCCCTCGGGTCCAGGATCCAATCCAGAAATATCCCTTCAATTGTACAAGCACATTTCTGTGCTGTCGCAGAGCTATTTCAGTCTGTTTATCGCTCGCAGTGGTGTAGAAAGCCATGTCCCCAACGCCACAGGTCCCTGTGGGGAGGGCCCCCAGTGACAGATGAAAGTAGCAAGTGCAGCCAAAGAAAAAAAGTAGGAGATGAGAGAAAGGCTGATTCTACAAAAGTATTTTCAGCAGTCACAGTAAAAGTCAATAATGGTAAAAAAAAATCATGGGTGAGGAAAGGTGGGAAACCGTAAGCAATGCAAAAACAAGCCTATCTCCTCGCAAGACGCTCCTAGGGTAAATATTTTTCTGGGTGATGAGGCTTATTTGATGCACATTTCTGGTGAATCACTTCCGAAAGACTCGGAGAGGAACATGGCTGCCAGCCATATTTTAAAGAAAGACATTGGAGGGGTTTAACTTGCTCAGTGATGTAAGTCCACCGTCCAAAGAGCAGAAGATAAGAAGACAGTCCTGCTTTTTAATTTGTTAAGATAAATATGTACATCACTGCCCACTACAGTTTAATGTAAGAGAGATTTAAAACATGGAATTACTGTTTATGCTTGTGAAAGGACTTCCCTAATAATGCACCCCACGACGCTGGAGATCTCTGGGGCTTCAGAGACCCCAGGACAGAGCCCCACATACACCCAATCCTGCAGCTGTGTTCAATGTTCTCTGGCAAACCGCACTGTTGTGTGCCTGCGTATGTGCGTGCATGTCTATGGACATGTGCGTGTGCATGTGTGTGACCCTCTGTGGTTTTGTTCAGTTGGTTCACACTTTTTTAAGGCAAGTTCTCCTATGTGGCCCAGGCTAGTCTAGAACTTGTGGTGATCCTCCTGCCTCAGCCTCCCTACGGCTGGGATTACAGGCGTGTTCCATCTCGCCCACATCCCTACGACTTTTAGATGACGACTTTCACTGTCAGAATTTTTTAAACATGGTTTGGGCTAGGGGGTGTAGCTCGGTGGAGTATTTACCTAACATGTGCAAGGCTCTGCACTTAGGAAAACAAAAGGTGGGGGAGAAAACTAGGAAATATTGAGAAAACAAAGGTGGTATTGTGCTTGGAGGGGTCAGATCACAAGAATGTCTGGACGTCAGCCTCCCACGGCGCCTTACTGCAGAGGCACACTACAGGAAAGCACTTTCTCGCTTTCTCCACACCTATTCGTGGTCCCTCCCTGCAGCCAGGCTCCACAAGCAGGCACTGGTGAATGTGGGTGGGGAGCCGGCCCTCCCTGGGAACCGCTCCAGGCCCAGTCGGCTCCTCCCCTCCGGTCAGGCCTGGGCACTGTGCCGGGCACCTGGCAACACCTGCCTCCGCCGCGCCTGCGCACCGCCTCTGCCTCTGCACCCGCCCAGGCCTGGCAGAGCGCTCCGGCTGCCCAGGCTTCCAGCGAGGCGCCCTGACTTGTGCGAAATTCCAGCCGCCTGAGAACACTCCCCAAAGTGCACCTGTGAGAACCAGGGGAGAACCTCAGGAGACCAAGGAAACTCACAAGCTCCACTAAACCCCAGGAAGGAATCAGGGTGCTCCCCGACTGTCATGTTTGAAAATTTTGTTCAGCATTCAGGGGCATTACCACCGGGAAGCCCAGTTCCCAGCACAGCAAAGAACACGATGGAAAGCCAGATTTCTTAACTGATTTATCAAGATAATCACATCAACTGAGCTGTATAAGAGGGAGGCGAGTAGGAGAGGCTGGGTAGGAAGTATACAGGGACTTCGTCCTACCCAGGCAACTTTTCTGTGGCCTCTAACACTGTCCCAAATCAAAATGCACTTCAAAGGAGGGTAACTCAGGGAGTGCTCAGGATGTCTGAGGCCCTGGGTTCAAAATTAAAAACAACAACAAGTAGACAGGTCAAATTCAATTGGGAATAATATACACAAAGTGGGGCGGGGCGGGGCGGGGCGGGGCGGGGCGGTGCATGCCCGTCATCCCAGCACCCAGGGAGGCTGAGACAGGAGGGTCATCACAAATTTAAACCAAACCTGAATAACTGAGTGAGACTCTGTCTCAAAATACAAAATGTTAATGGGGCGCGAGGTGTGCTGGGAATGTGGTGACACAGCCACCGGCGCACAGGTCCTGGGCTCGGCCCCCAGTATGGAGGATTCAAAGTGTGCACAAGACTGTGAAGTGAATTTAGGAGACAAAATTCGTTTGACAAGATATGAACTCAGCAGCTTCAATACTTGAGTACTTGAGTAATTAAAGACACTTAGCGAGGAGCTGTGTCCAGGGAACTAGGAGGTGAGACAATTAAAGGCCGGATTGAAAGATGGGTGGGTTTTCTCTATTTCAATTCCCTTCTGGCTTCGGAAGACATTCCTCCCTCCAGAGATGCGCTTCTATCTCTACAGACACCTCCTGTCTCCACTGTGGGCCAGTAATTCCACATGCTGCTAATACCAAAAAAACTCCTCCTGCTGGGCAAAAGGACTTGTGGATGTTCATCACACGCCCTCCACAGAACTCAAACCCATGTGTTTCGCTTGCCGTTTTGGTAAAGAAATTGACAACTGTATGGGAAAGACAAGACACAGAGATCTTGTTGGAACAATGAAATGGTATCCTTATTTATCAACAGGGAAGTCCCTGCTTCTCCTGCAGCCCCTTCTTATCCAGGCCCCTATGGATGGCTGTGAGCTAATGTTAAACCCTTAATAGACTACGTTTGTTCCCATTCATACATACAACAACAAAGTTATATTAAATTTACAAATTAGGCACAGTAACAAGTTAACAACACTAACAAAATAATTCTGACATCATACTATATTAAAGGGTATTTAAAACTCACGTTTCTTTCTAGAATTTTCCATTTGCTATTTTTGGGAAACAATTGGGCCAGGTAACTCAAACCACAGAAAGTAAAAGCATAAATGAGAGCCAACTACTGTGCACAATTTTTCAAGATTGCTTCTGGTCCCTGAGCAAAGCCTGCCCAGCCTACGTTTCCTAAGAATCCTGCCTCAGCCTGAGGTGTGGTCAAGAAGCCCTGGGGAAACCCAGCTGGAGAGAAAGGGAAACGAGGGTGTACCCAGCCATGGCTCTGTGCCCCACAAAAGGCACTGGGCCCCGCGAGGTCTCCTGGTGGCTGGGGAACGAGAAGCGACCGGGCCTGTTCCGGACTCAGCTGAGCCCAGTGAGGAGCCACTCAGAGCGGCTTTGCCTACACCAGGGATAATTGGCAGAAAGCAGGTCAGACCCTTCATCTCCTTCCAAAGCAGCACTGCACCCTTTGCCTGAGCCGGGGGATGTGTGCATTTTTTAAAGTTGTGTATAATTCAGAACTTTGTAAGTCAGATCATTTTTTTTAATTTTTTTATTTTTTGGTACCAGGGATGGAACCTGGGTCATAGCGCTTGCAAGGCAGGCCACCGAACCGCTGAGCTAAATCCCCGGCCTGGATCATGTTTTTATTAAACACGTAAGCTTAGGTTGCTTTCAACTCCCAGCTTCTAATTCAGTTTTGTCACCGATTGGGCTAAACGACATCTAAGATTCCTTTCACTTGCTCAAGCTGTAACTATTTCAGGAAGCCACCGAGCCCATTCTCATGGAAAAAAGCATGAAACCCTGTTCTGATTAAAGTAACCAGGGTTTATACAGTGTACTTTGGGAAAACATAAAATTCCACCCAGCATGAAGACATAATTTTTAAATAAATGTACTTATTTACCAAGAGTACATGGGTTTTTAAAATCACTAGCTGCAAAGAAATGTCCAGTACTGCTGCATATGTACGCAGAGATGGGGAAATTCTAAGCCACGTTAGGAATTGTGCTAAAGGTGATTCAAGGTGCCATTTTTAAATCACATTTCAGTGGCACAGAAGATGAAAGACATCATATTCTTCTAATTAAAAATATAAGCAAATAAGAAAATTCACTTGGGTCCAACCAACAAAAGAGCATTCTCTTCCAAACTAAAACAGCTGTCCATGAAAAAGTAACATTCGTCCTTACAAGTTTTTGACTCTCTGAAATTGTTTTCTCTTCAGACTCACAAAGACAAACGATTCATACTACAAAGAACCTGCCAGCACAAACATTTCTTTAAATTCATTCTAAGCTTGTTCAAACAAGTAATGGTCGTTAGCATTTATATAAAGATTCCTTCTCCAGCAGCTAAAAGGAAAACATGTTCTGGATTTTCATCCAAATGGACCACATGGATATGTGAGCACTACAGAGCTATGTTTTATTTTACTATGTTGAAATAGCATTCTTTCCTCTTCTTAAAAAAAAAGGTGACTCCACAGCTGGGCAAAGCGGTGCCTGCATAATCCCAACACTATGGGTAGGCTGAGGCAGGATGACTACAAAATCAAGCCCAGCCTGGGAAATTTAGTGACTCCCATTTCAAAGTAAAAATAAGACCCCATTTCAAAGTAAAAAAAATAAAAAGGTCTGAGGATGCAGCTCAAAGCAATAGCCCTGGGGTTCAATTCCCAGTAGTGCCAGGAAAAAAAAAAAAAAGACTAAAACTAGCTGTCTTAAGGCATTAGTTTAACATTTGTTACCAAAATATTATAGAAATATTTTAAAGAAGCCAGGTGTAGTGGCTCACGCCTGTAATCCCAGCACTTGGGAGGCTGAGGCAGGAGGATCGCTGTGAGTTCAAGACCAGCCTGGACTACATAGTGAGTTCCAGGTCAGTCTCAACTACATAGTGAGAGCCTGTCTCAAAAAAAAAAGAAAAGAAAAGAAACAAATATAGTTTTCCTTCTTTCTTTAAGATGACACCTCACCTCCATTAACCCCAGCCATCAGCGGGAGTATCATACATCTGTCTGCAGAGGTTACAGACCCAACCTGAAGCCTGCCTGCTAAATCTCCACCCACCTCCGCACAATTATCTACACACCTGGCTACCCCAGGCTCAGGGAGCAAAGTCTCAGGCTTAGTCACCTGCCACTCCTACGTGCACTGAACAACAAAGGGTTTTCCATAAAGAAGGTACCTAACATACAATACAAGCAAAGGCAAACACGTAATTCGTCTGATTACTGCTCACCACCCTGATTTCAAAAGCTCAAGAGAAAGACAATCTAGTCCCACCTTCATTTCTACCCTACCATAGCAAAAAGAAAAGGCTTTGCCTCTAAAGATTTAAGTAGAAGTATCTCCTCTGATCCTTTCTTCTGTCCTCACCTAGGAGCTGTGGAGGCAGCACTCTAGTGAAAGTTGTAATCCCAGCCAGGGACATGTAATCCCAACACTCTAGGAGGCTGAGACAGGAGGATCTCAAGTTTGAGCCCAGCCTGGGCAATTTAGCAACTTAGACAAAAATAAGACTCCTAGGGTATATAGCTCAGTGCGTGCAAAGGGCCTGGGTCAATCCACTTTTTTGTGAGTGTTTCTCTGTTTCTACACCACAAGGCTGATGGGCTGGATTGAGAGGGGACAGAATGATCGGGCATCATTAACTTCATCAAACCTTGGGGGCCAGGCACAGGTGAAGCCTCCTCTGCAGCTGGGCAGCTGACTGAGCAGTGACAAGCACTGGTCACAGCTGGCAACCTGGGAGGGGTGGTGATGTCCCTGAGGCACTGCAGCAGCCACTCCCCAATGGGTCTGGAGTCAGGACCTGGTCCTCAACAGCCTTTCTGTGGTTTCTCTGCCCCAGCTGTAACTGGGTGGGGGGGTCGCATGATGTGAAGTCAGAAACATCACGTCTTACCCTGTAAGCGTGGACATTCTGATGCTTCTGCATAGGAGTTAAATTTAAATTAACAAAGGAAGAGAGGACAAAAAAGAAAGGGCTTCCATATCAGGAGGCATTTTCAGTTTTGAAGGTTACCTGTAGGACATGAAAGGAACTGCTGGAGACAATTAATCGAGAATGATGCATTTTAATAGAGTGCAAGAGATTTATTGAAGGGACAAAAAAATTCAGAGAAAAAACAGCTTCCTTTTGTGAAGTGAGGATGGCACAACAAACACAATGCCAAAACAGGGATTTCTATCTTAAATTATTTTCAGATGCTAAATCTTACACTCATTTTACAGAACCCTGAAAAAATTCTTGACGAGTTATCTGCTGATCCATTAAAAAGGCACCTCCTCCATTTGCAGTGAACGGATACAACTTATTCCGCTGGTTGGTAGCACTTTAAAAGGCTCTTGACTAATGAAGAAAGTAAAACCACAAATATTTACCAAAACTTCATGCCCCTGTATTAATAAGGAATTGTTTGCTAGCTTGAGCAAGTCAGATATTTAAAAGGAATCTTGGTGTGATTTAAATATTTGAAAACTACCTTTTAATGCAATTGTCTTTTTGTTCTAGGAAGATGTTTTAACCCCATGGCCTGCTGAGTTGCTTTCTTTTGTAGAGATATTTGTTTTAAATCTTCTTAAATTGTATAAAGTTGTACATCACCTTAGTTTACTGAATAAATTTAAAACAGTTTTGAAGAAGGCTAACATACTAGGTTAAACTGTGCCTTCAAGGGCCAGGGATTTAGCTCAGTGGTGCCGCCGCCTGCCTCGTAAGCACAAGGTCCTGAGTTTGATCCCCAGTACAAAAACAAAACAAACAAAAAATCTATGTCAATAATATAAAAAATGAAAATTATTCAAGTAGATTCTATTGAACTAGCAAAAAAATAAATAAAAGCACTAACTCCTTTTTTGTTTTTATCTCACCTGCCAGATAAAACAAGGGATGTTATGTTTATGTGCCAAGAATTTTATTTCCCACCAAAATCTTCAATCTGTTTGCTAGGGCTTCTCACTAAAGAGTCCTCATTTTCTTGATATGTATGTGAGGTTTCAGAGGATGTGGACCCTTGCACCCCATCATGCCAGTGTACTTTATTGGCCAGCAGTCACATTTTACAGGATGTTGTATCAAATGAATGGCTCCTCATCTGGGTTTGGGGGCTGCAGGGTTATGGCTTCAACATCAGAACTGTATCTGACTGTTCAAAGAGTCAAGACCACTGGGACCAGGACAGCAGGAAGAAAAAAGAGAAATGCTGGGGGAAGAGCAGAACTGATCACTGAAGTGCTAGAACCTTCTGGAACCTGGAAAGACTAGTTAGCTGAGAGTCAAGGTAGACTCCCGGAGTCATATTCACACCCTCCTTTGCTCCACCCAAAAAAGTCAGCATTGCAGCATCAGGGGAATCAGCAGATTTTTTTTTTCCTTCCCTAAATAGTCTGAAGAACAATACAATTGTGCCTATATTTGGAGAAAAAAATTAAATACTGTTCAAAGCTGTTTTGTCCCATTAAATAGCAATTAAGACAGGTTAATACAGAAACAACAATCACCTCAATACAGAATCATACAGGTGTCATTTTGTTTCTGCACAGACAGCAGCTCTATAAGAGGATCAGTCACAGAACACAATGGTTTTGAAACAGATATTTCACAAGAGTGCAGAGTGGGGGCTGCCAGGGTTTGTTTTTTTTTTTTTTTTTTTTAAAAAGCTCACTAGCAAGAAGAGTTTACAAGTTTTTTTAAAAAGAAAAGAAAAAGAATTTTAACATCTGCTTGCTTTTGTATCCTGGTAACCACTTCTCCGCTGCGCGACCAGGAACCTTTCCCATCTGCAAACTGGGAAGTGTTCTGAAACTGGAGGTAACACACATGATATAGCTGGACCACCAGAGGTCTCTGCCAGGTAACGGTAACTACTATTTTGGGTTTTTTGGCAGGTACCAGGGATCAAACTCAGAATATTGTGCTTGAGAGTCAGGCAGGCAGCGGCACCACTGAGCTAAATCAAATCCCTGGCCCCTAACGGTAACTACTATTAACTGTGGGTCTGAGTTTTGATAAAATACACAATTTATTCACATTTAATAACCACGGCTCCTTGCTCCTTTCTCCTTTCTGCTTCCGGCTCAAAAAGGAGACCACTCCTCAGACCCTGCATTATCTCACCCTCTTCTATGCCCATCCATCTTCACCAGTGGAAACACTCCAAAGTCAATTCAACACCACTTCCTGTACAAACTCTCACCAGAGCCCTCACTCTCTTGCCTACACCTGTCGAGCCCAGTACCTTTTTTTTTTTTCTCTTGGGTGGCACTAGCCAGGCAAGTGCTCTGCGGCTGGGCTACACCCCAGCCCTACCCTTCCTTATTATAGTATGGGGCCCACGCTCCTTTCAGGCAGGTCTTGGTATTTTCACCTTGACTTTCCTTAGCACCTAGCACATGCATAGGAAATACTTGCTGGTTAAACGTAAAAATGGAGGTGGGGACACTGCCATCACAAAACTGCGGGCCTGACTGGTCTGCAGGTCAAGCCATGAGGGCACAGGGAGGATAGGGTGAGGACCCTCGGATTCTCAGGCCAAGCAGGTGTGGGAGGGCGCTGGCATCTCTGGAAGTCTGAGGTTTCTCCCTGCTGTGGACGTGGGCTTTCTGGGGCAGGGCCATCTCTAATGGTCCCTCCTGTGCTAAGATTCAATGCTAATGTCTGTTTGTCCTGTGCCTGGCAGGTGTTTGGTTTATTTAGCTTAGACACTAAGCATTGAACCCAGAGGATCACTTTCATGCTAGGAAAGAGCTGTACCTCTTTTGGTTTGGAAACCTCAAGATCTAGAGAAAAGTAAGCTTCATTGTTCTAACCACACGTTGTTGAAGGTTAATGACCATGTTCTGGACTTTCTCCTCCTACAAAATCCACACTTTGGTAAAAAATGTAACTTCAAGGCTTTGGTTACTCTGGCGACAAATTTCAGTACAGATTAACAATTTGTTTCGACTCCAAGAATAAAACTAGAGAAATTCTGCTTTAATTGAAAACAGTATTAATATGATGTCTCACACACAAAAAAACTCAAAATGTACCTCTTCAAAATGATGCCTTTATAGCCAGGCATGGTGGTGCACGCCTACAATCCCAGCACTTGGGAGGCTGAGGCAGGAGGATCGCTGTGAATTCGAGACCAGCCTGGGCTACATAGTGAATTCCAGGTCAGTCTCAACCACAAAGTGAAACCCTGTTTCAAAAACAACAAACAAGAAACCCCGATGCCTTTATATTATCAAGGGTATAAATTACTAAACAAAATAAATAAATAAATAGAACAGAAGAAGTAACGCAAAGTAGTTGTAGATTCTATCCAACCTAAAATAAAGACATAAAGGACAAGCAGTATAAAGGAGCTCTACACCATCCTAGAAACGGACAAGTGTTAGTAATGGGAAGGAAGAACAGAGATTTTTTTTTAAGAGGGGTGTGTGTTGGGGGGGGTACTGTGAGAATCGAACTGGGGACCTTGCACTTGCGAAGCAGGTGGCGGAGCCACTGAGCTAAATCCCCGACCTGGATATGTTTTAAAGTCATTTTTAAAGGAAAAATTCAAATTCGTTTACTTAAGGAAGGACTACAAACATTCATTTCGAGAATAACCAGCCTCGTTCCACCAATAAAATAGCAATGTTTGAAATAAACTTTAAATCCAACCAATAGTTTTTATGCTGGTTCTTTTTGGTCGGGGGGGGGGGCCTTTTGGTGACAGCAGTACTCATTAAGTCCTTCGTCATTCATTACGCAGAGGCAAGGAGGCCTCCCGCTTCTTAAATTCAGGCCGCGGGCAAACTGATTCCCGAGCGCAAACCATCGCGGCCCGGAAAAACAGGTAGGGGTGCTCGCTCCGGCTCCGTGCAGCCGGTCGCCAGGAGTTTCGCAAAGTGCAGCAGTCAGCATTTAGAGGCGGATTTTGCACTCAACAGCGCCGATCCAGGCGGGACAGCTCGGGAAACTCCCACCGGCGGGGCAGAAAGAATGCGCGCCCGAGCCTGGAGCCCGGCGCCCCGAGCGAGGAAGCCTCCTCCTTGAGGTCCTCCCCCCGACCCCCGGGCGGGCTGTACAACTTGACAGGTTTATCAACAGACTTTCGGCTGTAAAAGCAGAACACGGAGACGCTACACAGAGAAAAAGCAGAGCCCACCCCCCAAAAAAATCGAATGCTTGAGTGAGGAATCCTAACAAAATATAGATCTTTACGCAGTTCATTAACCTGTAAGTGAATTAACTAAAACTCTACCTCTACAAAGTATACAGAAAGCCAAAGGAAAGCGCAAGGACCCGAGTTCGAGCCCCAGTAACACCGCCCCCCCCAGAGCCAAAGGAGTAAAATATTCCATGAAGAGGTCTGAATCAACTTTAAAGGTGAAGAGGCAGCCAAGGTGTCGCTCAGTGGGACAGCATCTGCCTAGCAACTTTGAGGCCCTGGGTTTGTCTTTCACACCGCAAAAAGAGTAATAATAATAAATCCAGGCTAATGGAAACACTAAATACTACTGCTAATAAGTACTTGGTGCATAAAAAGTCGAAAGTAAGAATTACTAAAGAATCCTTACATATTCTAATTCGGATTTAAATAGTATGTGATCCACAAATTTCTAGGAATGTGCTCCCCGAATCCCGGAAGATTGCGACAGAAAAGTAAAAGTTTCCGATTTAAATGCTGGTAAGATTTTAAAACAAACTTAAAAACCCAAGTTTGTTTTTTGTTTGTGTGTTGGTGTTGATGGTAGTGGTGGTGGTGGTGGTTTTTGGTTTTTTTCCTCCTACTGCTTGACATATTTACGAAAATTCCTGGAACATTTCGTTCAGAAAACACATTAAAACAATTGCTAAGTCAAAAAGAAAATAAATACACTTGATCTTAGCAAAAGGCCGAGAAGTGGTGAAAAACAAAATAAATAAGGGAGGGGGGAGAGAGAGAGAGAGAGAGAGAGAGAGAGAGAGAGAGAGAGAGAGAGAGAGAGAGAGACAGAG